GGATTTGAATCCCTGAGAAGGCATGGATGTAAATGTATACTGTCTTTGAAGCATGGGGCATTATAAATATGTAGTAAAGCTGAAAGTCCTCTCGAGAGGTTGGTGGTAGAGGAAGAGGGGTGGGAGACCCTCGGATGCATCCCCCCCGGGATGCTCTTCATCAAAATTGGGGGTGGAAGGGAACTAAATCGCACTATCACCTGTGACATACTCAAGGCTGTTGCCAACGGCAGGCGTAAACTTGCGCTCCTTGCCAAGAGGAATTTCATGGGCTTGTGCTGACTATAGGTTAGACAAGTCAGCATTAGCAACAAAAACAACTGATCCTATACCGTCGGCAGGCCACCTGCAAATTAAAATTTGTTGCCCACATGCTGTGCACCGACTTGCTCCTCACTACCAGTGGCGTAGCGAGGAGGGGGCAAGGGGGTGCATGATGCCCCGGGCGCCGCTCGTAGAGGGGCGCCAAATGGTCTCCAAACAAGATTTTCCTGAAAATTTCAGTTTTTATTTTGATCGATTTCTGGAAAATATATTTAAAATTAATAACTATTGTAATATAATTAATTATTTATTTTCTTGAGTTTTCTGATAAAACGTGTAATAAAATGTTTGCAGTACATCAACCAAAACATTCTTTCTGACCACTTTATTTCTCCAAAGAAGAGATATATTTTTATTTCTTTAAACGAAATGCATGTATATCTCCCGCTTTTTATTTTAAAACGATAACACGACCTTGTCCGGAATTTCTCAAACATATTTAATTTTCAAAATCCGATTCCATAATCTGGAAATGACATATTGGGAAAATCCTAACGCTTCCGCTACAATGGATTGCGTTTGACTCTCCTGTAAACGACTGATGGCGTTCCTGGCTACCGATTCAACTAAGTCATCTTGCTGAGACATCGTATATTCACTGCTACGAAGCATTCAACGCTTGTCAATTGTTTTTAATCTCCTTTTACAAAAGGAATACTGCAAGTGGCTCCTTACTCCTTATCTAAAACGCATAGTTTTCGACGTCACAGACTAAATTTGCATATTTGCAACTTTGTAAACGTTATAATTTTCCTTTATAATCTCTTCTATTTCCTTTTGTTCAAAAAGGTTGTCGATTATATGGTTATTTCATACCGAACCCACAATATTTCCTAATTGTTTTGAGCAGTGAATGTGACTGCATGGCGTTACTCCGCAGTAGAAAAGAAACGGAACCTAAAAGTCCACTACAGATCTATGGAGAAAATGTTTTTCAAAACCTAAGAGTCGCACTTCAAATACTCCTTACTAGCTAGCTATAAATGTTCGTTCAGCAAATTAAAATAAATTTTCACATATTTACAATCAACGATGGGACAAGATCCCCTAAGTTATCTAGCATTTTTAAGTGTGCAAAGAGAAAAAGTTGAAAGGATCGACTTCGATGAAGTAAATGATAAATTTGCTTCATCCAAGGTAAGAAAAATGTATACATAGTAATTAATTGTATTCATGTATTATATTATTATTAATAAATATAAGTTTCCGACCAAGTCTAGGTGCACGTGATTGAAGCGAGATGAGGGGAAGTAAAACTTTTTAAGTTGGCTGGTGGTGTGTCTGACAATTTTAGATCTTTGGCACTCATGTCCAGTTGGCTATGTCCTTTCGCATGCTAGGCCATACGAAACGTTGCTGTATCAGTTTCCTCGAAGCCTTGATGCCAGGATGTGACAGACGATGTAACTGATTAAAAATGGCATGGCGAAACCCGGAGGGAACATAAGGTTGAAATCTTGAATCCTGAACATTACAATAAAGTGATTTTTCAGGTGACAGCTGCATAGGCTGCAAGTTGAGATTGGTGGAAGATTTGCTTTTCGAAAGAGGTTTGTAGTTTTGAATCCCGGTGTTGCTTATCCGCAAGGGCAGCAAAGTTTAATTGGCGAAGGAACGGCTAGTTCTTCAATAGGACACAAGGTGTCTGCAATATTCTGCGAACCCTCAATATAACGGATATCTGTTGAAAATTGCCCTATGAAGTCTAGGTGTCTCATTTGACCAGGAGAATCTTTATCTGAACGCTGTTGAAAAGCATACGTTAAGGGGTTTTGATCCGTGAAGATCATGAAAACGCGTCCCTCTAGCATATGTCAAAAATATTTGACATATTCATAAGTTCCTAATAACTCGCGATCGTAGTGCTGTATCTGGTTTGTGCTGGTCAGAGTTTTTTTAGAAAAATATGAAAGTGGTCTCCATAATTCTTGATCGTTCTGTTGTAAAACTGCTTCTATACCTGTTGTTGATGCGTAAACGTGTAGAAATATTAGGTTATTTTTTGGAAGCAGAAGAGATGAAAAATATGCAACGCCTTCGCCGGGAACCGAGCAGCGGACCTCTGGAGTACCGGCGGCCCAGCCTGCAGAACCACTACACCACGAAGGCACGCTAGGAAAGTGGGAGAAATACCTTATATACTCTCCTTTTTTAAAGGGCGACTGGGATTTTAGGGGACCCAATTGCCAAATTCTGGGTGTGCAGAATCCTCATCCAACACCCCTTTTTAGTTCGGGCGCCACTTTAGAGACATTAGGATACTTAAGGCCCATTTACACTAGCGGAACTTTGAGCCTAAGAAAAGCAGGCGAATTTGAAGACTCGTTTGAGAGCTTTTTAACATCAATTTTTTTCCTATTGTGAGGGAATATTTAACTCTTAAACTCTTGAATAATGTTATAAGTTAGGCTGTTTATTTAAATGTGTAAATATTCAGTTTCAGTTTTTAAAAAAAAGAGTAACATTTTCGCCATTTAGTGAAGCTAGCAACTTCCGCGTGCATTTCTTAGGCTCAAAGTTCCGCTAGTGTAAATGGGCCTTTTGAAGCAAGAGAGATTGAAAAATTAGCAACCGTCTTCGCCGGGAATCGAACCGCGGACCTCTGGAGTACCGGCCCAGCGTGCAGATCCACTACACCACGAAGGCACGCTAGGAAAGCGGGAGAAATACCTTATAAACGTAGAGTGATAATGGCTTAAATACGGAAGGATACTACAAATTTGTTGCCGAAATTAAACCATTCTTGCATTTTTGGAACGCTTCGCGAGATTCTCTGGTCCGGGTTTATAACACGTTTATCGTTTTTCTTGCTTCCAAAAAAAAAAAAAAAAGAATTTAGAGATGCTTGTATGGTTGCTGCATGAGGTAAGAAACGTCGATAAAATTGAGCATAGCAAGAAATCTTCTTAAGTCCTTCACTGTAGATGGTTCGGGCATATCGTGGATAGCAGTGACTCAGGAAGGGGTCGAACGGCATCGGCGGAAATTTCATGACCAAGAAAGGATACACTTGGTTGGTCAAAAACGCATTTGGAAGGATTAAGACTGACACCGTACCTTTGAAAACGTTCAAAAACTGTTCTCAAATGGGATAGGTGTTCTTTCTTTGAAGAGGAGGCGATTAAGACGCCGTTAAAATAAGATACACAAAAGTCGAGGCCAATTAACACCTGATTCATGAAGCGTTAGAACGTTTGAGCAGCACTGCATAATCCGAAACTCAAATAGTCCAAAAGGCGTAATAACCGCAGTTTTTGGAATATCATCTGTGTTAAGGGGCACTTGGTGATACGCCCGCTCAAGATCAAGGGTTGTAAAAATAGTTTTTCCCTCTAAAATTTGCATACAGTCTTGAATGTGCGGGACTGGGTAACGATCAGGAATTGTAGCCGCATTTAACCGGCGATAATCGCCACTTACCATTTCGTTTCCGAACTAGATGGAGCGGACTGGCCCATGAACATTCTGAAGGATGGCAAATTCCCCTGTTCCATCATGTATTGAAATTCCTTTTTGGTGGCTTTAAGCTTGTCCGAAGGTAAGCGTCTTGCTTTAGCGGCAATTGGAGGTCCGTTAGTTTCAATATAATGTAGTACATCGTGCTTAGGTTCGGAAATACCCATAACTGGGCGCGTGATTGTAGAGAATTCTCTGAGAAGTTCATGCCATGGGACTTACCCGAAATCACTTTAATGCTCAAATCTTGACTGTTGCGAATTACTCCCGAATAAGTTAAGTTGGTTTTGGAATCTATCAAACGGTGATTCTTAAGATTGACAAGCAAAGAAAATTTTTGTAAAAAGTCAGCTACAATAATAGAACTTGAAACAATAGCAATAATGAATGGCCATTGGAAGTTGCGGCGCAATCCTAAATCGACAGATATCGGGCGTTCACCAAAAGTTTGAATTGTAACTTGGTAAGATGCTTTTGTTCGTAAAAATGTGGTGGAACGACAGAAACATCAGCCCCGGTGTCTACAAGAAACCTTAAGCCCGAATTATTTTCGATGACGAAACGGCGTGCAAAATTCCGTTCACGACTTCGAGCAACGGTCCTTCTCGTTTCCCTGGTCGTTATAACGACACGGTGGGCGGCATTTGTTTGCCTTGTTTCCAAATTTGCGGTGGTAAAAACAAATACCCGGAGGAGGGCTTTCATAACCTTTCCTCAGTGGTTTCATAACGTGTATTTCGACCACGTGATGATGAGCGGTTGCGCTGAAAATGTTCAGCTTGGATGGCTACCAACTGAGCAACCTGTTTGGACAAATCATCAATTTGAGCCTGTAACGCCACAATACCTGGACCAGGAGCCTGCGCTGCGTGTATTTGCGCTGGAATGGCTAGCTCGTGAATTTTATCAGTGATTTCGAGAAGATTTTTAAGTGGCTCGCTACTGGCCGCTAAAATCGTTTGCATGTTAGATGGGAGTCTATTCATCCATAATGTTTTAAGAATGCTATCCGTTAGGTTACTGGCGGCTAAGTCTGACATTTTAGACAGCAATTGAGAAGGCCTCATATCACCCAACTCTAAATCGTGCAACAGCTGCTTGATTTTAACTGCCTTGGATTCTTCATAAACAGAAATATTTTTTTTTTTTTAAAGTTTTGTATTTGTCCATCGCCGGTGGCAAAGAGGTTAGAATACATGGAGATGCCCTGCGCGCAGTCCAAGTGAAGCCAAAAAGTGGGGGGAAAGCATGCCCTTAGTAGTCGTGGCTTTAGAAAGATTGACGAGCTCTTCAGCCAATGAGGCAGAACCTAGCCACACCCAGTTTCGTAAATTAAAGACCGTGGATTCTTCGCGCGCTTTTTCCTTCACTTTTTCCCGCCATTTCATTTTATTTCTACATTTTCTATCATCTTGTAGACGGCTGCAATATTGTTCCGAGAAGCAATTTTTATTCCTGCCAAAATGGTAAATTCCTGCGTCGCTTTCGGCTGTACAAATAGAAGAATAGCAGGATCCGGTATTACATTTCACAGGTAAATGTTCTTTTAACATATATACTATCATTTATTTAATTATACTTTGCTCAAAGTTAGATAAAAATTTGCTGTGCATGTTTAAAACATATCCAAGGAAACGGCTGCAAGTGCTGATAATTGTATCAATTCTAATGATTATCAGGATATGCAGAGGGAAAATATATGTACAAAGGGACTGATTCCATTAAAATGAGTTAAATGAGAAATGCATTATGTAATTACATGCTGTCATTAATGTCATTAATTAAAGGTATTGTGAAAATAAATAAATAAATACTCAAACCATTAATTGATTATATTTTAGTTATTCTAAATATATACAGGTATAATTCTCAATTTTCCATGTTAGAAATACTACTTACGTTTTGAAAAAATATTAAATTGCATGAACAATGATAAAAAATAATATTTTAAATCCTGCATTGTTTATTTTTTAAAACTCCCACAAATTTCACCCCAAATTAAATCCTGTTATTAAATATTTACTTGAACAGAAAATAAAATTAAATACATAAAATAGACTTGTAATGTAATATGATCACACCTTTAAAATAACGCGTTTTCTTTTCCATGATGAGCTGACCACTCCCCCTTCCCTTGTTTACTTACCGTTTTGCTTTTACAACTCAGTTAATTACGAGTATAATGCTCAAACCATTAATTGAAGAAAAATCTGAGGATTATAGATGTTTCTTCGCGCACATCACACCGAGAAAATACTCAAACTCTTTTCTGACGGCTTTTCAAACGCACATTTCAATTATTCTACTTATTTATGCATGTTAAAAATCATTCTTTTATATGGAAATGAAATCCGAAATGTAGACATTATTTCAATGTAACCATTCAGTACCTTATAACCCTCTCACGTCTTCACATAAGAAATCAGAAAACACACTCAAAACTTCAAACAAGCTGACGTTTAACCTCACTTCACATAGTAAGGGAAGCGTTTTCTTGCCCTCACGAGGCGTGGCTTATTTGCTTCCCCCGGCTTCACTCTCCTCGTATTGCGACAGCAGAGACGCCATCTCCATGTATTCTAACCTCCTTGGCCGGTGGACTCAAAATTATTTCACGAGCTGATTGCAGTACCTCTGATTCTAACGCGGCGATGGCAGTATAAAATTGAGTTTCGTCGGCAGTAATGTGACTCAATTTAAACTGCGCATCCAATTGAATGAACCATAACAATGGGTCTCGGCGACAAAAAGGAGGTGGCTTAACAACCACTCTCGCCATTTGTGAAGCAGCATCGTTTTCAACCACTTTAGATCAATCAAATATGCTCAATAATAATATGTATAGAAAAATAATCAATATGTATATAGTGACACAGTTTTTTGGTACTTGAAATCAGAAAAATTGGCGATTCAAATGCAGCAGACGATACATATATCCGTTGAAATTATGACAGAAATATGTTGACTCACTCGAATGGGGCACAATGCTTGAAATCACAGGTGAAATGTCTTACTTGCATTTCATCACACTGGATAACTTACTGTTGCTCAGAATTTTGACATATAAACACCATATTCGTGCAACATTGAAAGTTGCTATTCATAATAAATACGGGTTACCAATTATGGTAGTATAATTTGAGACAGATCGTTAAAATAATAATAACAATTGAATAGAATAAATATCATTTTATATTTTGTTGCTATGGGGTTACCAGACTGGCCGAGTTGAGTTGTAGTAGGCAAGTTGCCACATATCTATTATCTATAATGTATATTAAACTTTTAATTGTTTAAAAATTGTACTTTTTAAAAAACACTTATATAAATATGTAAAATAAATAATACGTTTTTTAACTAATTCTAGATCGTCGTATGTCTGATTTTTCCGCCGACACAGATGCATTTCCGAATCCAAGGCTAGTGTAGTTAGGTAGTGGCTATTCTTAATATATTTTTGAGTATTTTATGGCAGATTCAGCATTTTATTATTATTTGCATTATTTTCATATTATGAATATGTTCTATACATTATATTACTGAAAGTTTTTTGTGGGGGGCGCCAATAAGATTTTTTGCCCCGGGCGCCAGTTATGTTTGCTACGCCACTGCTCACTACGGACGGTCATGATATGTGGTATTTAAATTTAGTGATATGTTCTACAGTCAAAAGTCGTTAATTCGGACACCCATAATCCGGAATGATCTATAATCCGGACCTCAAAGCTAAAAACTTTCTGCGCATGCGCCGCGTTGACACATGCGCATAGGCGTTTACGCGTGCGCGCAAGACCTTTTACGTCTGCGCATATGCGTGTGCGCAAGTGCAGAATACGTTTTCGCGTGCGCGTTTAACGTATAACGAACGGTATAAGCTAAAATTATACAATTATCTATTTCAGGTAATGTTGATGCTTGCGTTATTCCTTAATCTTCGAATTAGATGCAGCTTATTATTTTTCGCAGACTGTAAGAGCAATTTTATAAAAGTAAACTTGAACTTTCGATTATGTCAATTTCCGATTCTGGAGCTCCCAAAGGATCTACAAAACGAAAGTATGTCTCGATGTCCGTCAAACAAAAAGTGGAATTGCTGCAAAAAATGGATAAAGACATGAAGAAGGTGACAGAGAGGTTAGTGAAAACGAAAAATTCGATTGACAAGTTAGTCGGTATTCCCGGCACAGCAATTACGGGACTTGAACAGCGAAGCTTTTTAACTGAACAAGAAATTATGTCTGTTTATAGAAATAAAGAGAAAGTATTATCACATAAAACGAAACAACTTACATTGAAAGAAATGTTTAATAAAGTAAACAAATAAATATTAAGCTTCTTTTTTTGTAAATTTTGATACCCTTTAGATCATAATTGTTCTTTATTTCCTAAAATACGGTTTCATATTTTTAATTTTAGAATTTGTGTATGCCATCTTACGAGATTTAAACTGATGATCTATAATCCGGAAAAATCGATTATCCGGAATCGCCGAAGTCCCGACGAGTCCGGATTAACGACTTTTGACTGTATTCAGTTAAATTCAAATCAGTAAACTAAAAGCATTCATAATTAAAATGAAATGTAAAAATAAAGCATAATATTAAAATTAAACAATGTGTATTTGAAAAAAATGTGGGAAAAAAAAAGGCACCTAGAGCCAACAAATTTTCAATAATGCAGAACTGAATATCATACAAAACCATCAACTAAAAACACTAATGAGTTATGGTACAAAATTTAGACCAGTCAGAAACATAACTAAAAATTACTGTTACAAGACTTTCGAAAACAACATCAACAAATTTATAGTTAAAGCTAGCTATCAGCTGAATTTACCCATAGATACCTTCTAAAAATGGAAAGCTAAAATTCTTTAAACGCATATCCACCGAAATCAGTCACCTCAAGTTTAAAAAGTACACTGAATTGGTCGCAAATTTACATCAGATATTAAAAAATTAAAACAGCTTTTTACTATTACAAAAATAGATAAAGCAACTAATAACTTTAGCATTATATGAAAACAATTCTACGCAGAAATTATTCATAAAGAACTTCTCAACGCAACTACTTATCAATTAGCCAACCTTACAGAAACATCTATAATAAACAGGTTTAAAACTTTTCATAAGAAACTCAATATTACTTTCAATGCAAACTACAACAGATTTACTAATCTTTATGCGATTCCCAAATTCCATAAAAACACCAATTAAAATTCAGATTTATTAGCTAATGGAACTAATAAATTACAAGAAAAATGTAGACTATTATTTTTTCAATTCAACTTAATAAAATCTGTAAATTTATTTTCAATGATTGTAACACTAATCATAACAATTCCTGGATCATTCATAATAACACTCCTGTCATTAATACCATTCAAACCATTAACATCCAAAACATTAATTGCTATGACTTTGAAAAACTTATATACCTCACTTCCTCTAGAAGAAATCTATACCAGTCTACTTGATCTAACTAAACTCTTCCCTGATATGCTCAATATCATGACTCTTGACAAATGGGAAAACCTACCTAAAATGCACACTTTTTCATAACTACATCAAGTTTCAAAATCAAACTTTTTAAACAAGTCAGAGGATTGCCAATGGGCTTACATTCCAGCACCTCGATCTGTAATATCTTTTTATTTGTCAAAGAATTTAACTTCCAAAAAAATCTACAACCACAAGAGTTAAATTACTACAAACACACCTACAGATATATTGATGACCTTATTACAATTAATAATTTTGATAAAATTGAACACTCCGAGATTTATCCGAATTGTCTTACACTTAATAAAACTAATAATTCACAAAATAGCACTTTCTAGATCTTCAAATCATTAACTACAAAAAAATTTTACTTTTTGACAAAACAAGAAACTTCAATTTCAATACTAACAAATTAATAAATTGGAACTTCCAACATATCCAAAAAAGTAATTAACAATACTATAATTAATCAAATACAACGAATTAAAATTATATGCACAGATACAATAGATTTACAACGCGAAATTTTGCTCCTTATTAAAATTCTCAAAAATAATCTAATACCCATTCAATTTATCAACCATTGCCTTAAAAGAGCAGGCGTTAAATACTCACTCTAAATCATGTAACTGATAGGGATATGATAATTTGTTCCTAAACCTGAGAAGGCGGTATAAGTTGGATGACTATCAGTTGAAGGATTTGTATATAGTGTAATTACTCAATTGTATATATTGTAAAAACCTAATTGTCTTCAGACCTTATGCTATACTGTTACTAAAAAAATGGGCCTATTTCATGACTTTAGTCTGTCTAATAGCTCTTGGACAGTGAAAATTTTTCTTTTTTCCTTTCTTAAATTCTTAATCATTGCGACACGACAATTAGCCAAGAAATTAATTAATTTCCATTCACTAGTATTTTCAAAAAAATCTTAACAGACAGTCTCCCTCAAATAAGAACTCCACATAATACATCCATCTCACAGAATTACATAACTCCAATAATAATTCCGAATTCCGAGTCCCACCCACTACCATAAATTACTTCACCCAAGTCTTACCGACTGATATTATTCAAAGCCCCCACTGCCGCTAAGAATTTTCGGACACCCAACACTTATGAGTCAGACACGAAGAGAACACTTTGCCAACTCCCCACTAGAAAGAATGTAAGTTACTTAATACCTTTTCTGGCCTTTATATCTTCATGTACATTTCACTGTTCTTTATATATATTTTTTTATATTATTTTTTATTTGATTTTTTTTACAAAGTTTGCATTATTTATCTTATTTTGTAATCTTCTATGTTTATTTCAACTTTACTTTGAATTCGATTTCATAATAACAATTTCCAATGTTTAATTTTTACAAATAATATAGAACTCAAATGCATAAACATGAAGGGTGTCGGGGACGGTTTACTCGGGTTTTATCGGATTTTCTCTACAGACATTTTGCTTTTTACTCCAAATTGAATTGACTAAAATTGCTTCATAAGATAAGTTCTTTGAATATAAGCATTGGATCATAATCCCTTCTATTCGCGGAAGATATTTGGCTTGACTAGAATTGCCGGTTTGGCTTTAACTTATAACTCGAGTAAAGACGAAACACCTTCGTATTTACGTATTTTTATCAATTATTGTTCGTTGAACGGGAGTTGGTTTGTTCCCCTTGAAAAGTCAAACTAATTTCCGATCAATGACAATGATTACATGTTTTTAATTTGATTTTTCCTTTTACAATTGAAATTTTATTCTTCATGATGATTTAACTCCAGTCCCAGTTAAAACATTATTAACATTTTGCTTTCAAATTACTTCAAAACATCTTTCGAAATATAACTTACCAGTATGGATTCACTCTTTTAAAATAATTCTACTTTAATTAAACTTAGGAGATAATATAATCAATTAATCAATATTGTTTAGGAAATAAATTATTATTAACTAACTTTGCAGCAATTGCACAAGTAGTAGTAACTTGTTTTCGCACTAAATGAATTTAAGATCATACACCATTATATATATATATATATATATTTAAGGTTAAAGAAAATTTTCTGCAGGATCTTTCTTTGCTCTTGAAAAAAATGCTTGCATCTGATCGTCCTCAGAATCGATAGAGTAATTCAAAATTGACGTCAAACCAAACTAAGGTTGCTTTTTGTCTAGTTTTTAAATAGTTAACTGAAATCGAAATAAAGTTTTTTGATGATTTCAGATTTATTTGGCTTCATTTCTCTGTTACTTAGCACTTTTAAATCTGTTTTGACCTTAAGCTGGCAATTTAACTTTAATGTAAAACATTTATTCTATAATAGTTTAATCATATTAATCACATTGTTGATCACATTATGCAATGTATTTTCCATGTTTTCATATACAAATGGACAGGACTTCAGCAGATTGATATGAATTCAATCAATTAACTGGGATCACATCAAGTGGTATCTGCTGTAGTATATGTCTAAAAAGAAGGATACCTTCCTGGAGGCCTTTCTATGAGAAATTGGTTCATATTTCAGTTGCACATGAGAAATACAACAAAATGCCTATGCAGCCAGCTCATTTGCCAAGATTCAAATTCAAACAGAACCACCAGTTTTTAATTTTTCCACTGGTGGTCATCAAGAATATCGTTGAACAAATTTCATTTTTTTAATTAATTTAATTAAAACCATGTAATATGAAAAATTTTTGCATTATAGTTTGCAATCACTGATAGCAGCTCATTGACCAACTCAAATAAATTGGCAAAAACTGGTAAGTTTAAGAGATGTCAGAAACTCCACTTGGAAAATCATTTTCCAGTCCAACTAATGGTGACAAAAAATGAACTTCCACAATGACGAATTTTATGTAAGAATACAAACAAAACATACATAAATTTAAAAAGAGTAATTTAAAAAAAATCTATGAAATATTCCATTGTCATTGCAAATATGTATATGTGCTAAATTTCAAGAAAATAAGCTTAAGATAAGTGGGTCAAAATCTGATTTGAATATCTGACCTCAGCAAATACAGAAATCTAAATAAAATTGCATACAAAATTCTGCAGTGAATCTTATACAATTTTATTTTTATGTTTTGCAATAATACATCAGTTCAAATTGTGCATACACATGTATTTGTGCTCACTGTTGCACAAAGACAGCATCGGAAATTTCAAATTGTTAAGAGGAAATATTTAGTATTTTTTAAGTTACCTTAAACACATACCATTGTTTCTTAAAATTATCATATATAATCTGAGCTGGACTGATAATAAGCAACAGGAAACAGTTTCTATCTATTTTGATGTAAATCAAATATAAAGTTTATATGAATATTTTGTACCACTAATTACACCACCAAAATACAACTGGAGTGTGCCACTCCCATTTCCTATCTTAAAAAATGAGAAACATAAGTTGTCTTTGTGCAAGACAACAGAATAAAAGACATTTGTGTTCACTTTGGCACATGTGATATCATAATATGCAAATAAAAGCAAATCTTCATTCAAGGTGTCCTTTGCTATATTACATTTATTGTGGTATTTCATTTCTTGAAGTCTTTTGAAGAAGATAAGACAATTTAAAAGAATATATTACTGGTTTTCTCTTAGTCTTTCACACAGGCATTCTTCCTGTGAGGTTGATAATCCTAGTGTACATTGCCATAAATAAATCCTAAAGTCTAATTTAATCAGAATCTACTGCCGCTGCTGCTTAAGCTGGGAAGAATACCCTATCAGAAGTTGCACTGGAGTGCTACTTTTATAAAAAAACAGATTTTTCAAATTCTTATTTGGATTGAAAGTGGCACACTAAATAATGGTATGTTTGAGTAAGAAATTTCTTTTTACAATTGAAAGTTGTTCATGAAAAGGATCTCATGGATCCTTCCGAGATATGCAATGATTTTTGTTAAAATATATCAGGAAGGTAATCAAAAGGGGCATGTATATTATTACATCAATTTGTTTTTATCACCTGAATTAATGAGAATTTTTTTTTTTTATTTTCTTATTCAAATTTTATTTAAAATTTAGTTCTTTGAAATTTGCAGAATCACCAGATACCAAAACATAAATTCAAGTACCATAGAGGCATTGAGATTTCCATTACAGCAGCAGATGCTTGATCAAGATCATTTTAAAAGTTAGTAATTATTTTTTATAACTCCAAACGTGTTTTGTAGTATTGGTTTATGCTGTCAAAGTTTTGTAAATTTATTTACAGTTTGATTTGACTATCAAATGAAAAGGGCTTAAAGCATTTGATAAAATATTTTTACAAAGTTGCTTACATTATATCAAGTTTGCATTAGGTGCATAAGTGTTAAAAAATAAAAACTCAATATTGTCAGTTTTTGACGTTAGAAGCCTATATAACCCCAAATCTTTATTTTATTTTTCTGCTGTTTGTTTATTGTGTAATTGATTATGACAAAACATGTGAGGGCTGTTTTGCCTAAGGGAAGGGATGTCTTCAAGCTAGCTCGTATACACATTGCACGTGGGGAAAACCAAGAAGCGCCCATGCAGCCAGCTCATTCGCCTGGAATATAACCCAGGTTGGAACTACCAGTGTTCAGCATCTTTACTGCTCAGCCACTGGTTGTCCCACATTATTCTATAAATATCCATGCAGCCAGTCTGTTCATAGGAATAAGAACCCAGGTCAGATTACCAGACCTGTGGTCTTGTCCTTTGGGTCACCGGTATGCACTTTTTCTAACTGATTTATATTATACAGTTATTTTTTATAAACATAGCCATCATGAATTTAATTATTAAACAGCTGTTTTAAGTGCCATATGTTCATTACAGAACAGTACCCCTCCACCCCTCAATAAAAATATACTGTTTAAATATCTGCAAAAGGCAAGTTATAACTTTATAAAATGGCATTACGTTCTATAAAAATTAAATATATATATAATACAGTACAAATTCCGTAATCCGGACATCCATTATTTGGAATGATCTATAATCTGGACCTCAAAGCCACAAACTTACGCATGCGTGTAAAGCGTTTACGCATACGCATAAACCCAGTAAAGCATTTAAACATGCAAACTTTCCGATAGTGAATAAAGTGACAGAGAGGTTATTGAAAACAAAAATAATTCGATTGACAAGTTACTCGGTATTCTCGACACAGTAATTTGATTATACAATTCAGGCTTAATTGTCTCAGTGCACTATTAAAAGCAAGATAAAATTTAACGGAATAACTTGTCGTTAGTCGCGAAGCTTATGATGCATAGCCAAATATGTATAGTGAAGGATAGCTGAATTTGATGATCATAGCCGCTAATTTTAAAGGTTTTCAAATATCGCAAAACAAAGGTGAAAGTTTCCAATTAACGGATTTTGTAAAGAAACATGGAGAAGCGGTAATAAATGAAGATGATCTAAAAGAAGATTTTCATTGTGATGACAATGCTTTTCAATCATCAATCAATTAATGAATGGCAAAATCTGTAGTATGGTTCTAAATCCAGAAAATACCGCTACCAATAATGAATAAAGTGACAGAGAAGTTTCTGAAAACTAGAAATTTTAGATTGAAAATTAGTCTGTGTTCTTACTTTCCCGGCATAGCTTTCTCTTAAAATTTGTCTCGCGCTACATTGCACAGAAAAATACAATAGTTTTACTTATAATAGTTTTACTTATAATTCTACAAAAATTAGATGTTAAAGTACAAAATTCGTAGCAATAATATACGTCCTTTCCAAATTACTAGGTAACGTTTGAAAAATTCAAGTAAAAACTTGCTTTTAAAAATGAAAAATTCAAGAAAAGAAATTAAATAAATTTCTTAAGCGTCTTCAAAAAGTTTCTTTGCAGAACTGAAGGAAGTTACAGATCGTGTTTAGTCGAGCACTTACATTTCTCAATAAGTTTTTCCGATGATAAAATTAAACAAATCTCTTGGAAGAAGTTTTTGTTAAATAAGAATCGCGACACAGTTTAAGTTTTAAGATTGAACTTAGAAAGTTAAAAATAAATAAAAATAAATAAATAAATAAATAATAAATAAAAATAAAAGTCTGACAAATCAGTTTTGTATTAAATTTTTTCAAGCCCAGTAGTTATCCTGACTTATTTTAAAGTAATTAATATTTCTTTGAGTCTTTAATTTCTTGGGAGTCGATCGATTTCAAATAAAACAAAAAAAACTGTTTAAAAAATGAGGAAAAAATTACTCCAGCTTATGATTAAAAACTGAACTATAATAAGGCATTTTGCATGTTAAGACTTATGCACCACTGGTTTACGTCCTTTACAAAGAAAGAAATCTAATCATGCATTAAAAAAAATACTACTTCCCGTTTCATGATTTTTTTAGAAATCTTAAACTGTTTTGTGCCATTAATTTACAAGAAACTACTATTAAAAAATTTCCCATTCGATAAAAGCTTTGACTTTATCAGACGACTTTTTTTTTTTTTTTTTACTTTATTAGTCAGACGATTTATCTCAATTTTAAGTACTTTTATTTTTATTTTATACTTATTTAGGAGAACGAAAGGCTTGCTTTATCTTTATATATATGTATATATATACAGATACTAAAATAAAAAAGAACTAGTTCTTTGTTATATGTATTGAATGCATTATTCATCAAGTTTCAAAGCAATTAAGCACAATACGTCACTGCACAAGCTTTTTTTAACGATTCGAAAAGGATCCGAAATTTATTTCCGGATGGATATTATGCTTCAAACAGAGTAGCACTCATTTTGTTAATGGATGCATTTAGAAAACAAGTCGCAAAAATAAAATGTAATGGCAAAAAAAGATATTTAATACCGCATTTGCAATCGTGAATTTTCTCGATTCGTATGCGACTCCAAACTTAGCTCGAAGGGAATATGAAAATAATTTCCTCGTCCACCTCTTCTTGAACCTATTAAAATTTCATTACTGTCATTAGAATTTTACATTTATACAAGAAAAGTCTTTACCCGGCCTTTATTTTTCGAAACGTTTTTGTAAGTAGATAGACTTCCAATTACAAAAACCTTTTAAATTAAATGCAAAAATTCATGTTTTGCAAATTCATGTTTCAATTTTAAAATTTAAATAAACTATTTTTATAAGAATTACGAATTTTTGCTTTTTCCACGTTCTTTGTTTTTTTTTTTTTTTTCTGTGCACTTGTATTTGCGAAGATTTAGTACTCCTTATAAAAGGGCCCACCAGTGGCCGAGCGGTAAAGTCGCTGAATACTGGTAGTTCGGTCCGAGGTTCAAATTCCGCGAACGGGCTGGCTGCATGGGCGTTTTCGTGGTTTTGCCCATGTGTAACGTGTATACGAGCCAGTTTCCCTTAGAAAGTCCTCCACAAAGGCATCCCTCCCCTTAGACAGATAGCCCTAGTGTGCTTTGCCATTATCTCAATAAACCAAATCAAAACCTTATAAAAGTAAAGCAGAAAACGTTTGGACGCTGTTTCGCTGGTAACGCAAATGCGCTTTCGTTAACTACATTCCGAGCGACTCGTGTGGACGGTCCTTTAGATCACAATTGCTCTTTGTTTCATAAATTACAGTTTCATATTTTAAATTTTATAATTTCTGAATGTCATCTTACCAGATTTAAATTGGTGATCTATAATCTGGAATCCTCGAAGTCTGGATTACGTACTATGTACTGTAATATAGAACTGAATTTTGCTCTGTATTATTCATTATGATTTACATTTTAACTTCTACCTGGCTCATTCGAACACCCAGCCTCACCTAGAAAAACTTTTTCAGTGATTTCAGAATTTCAACAGATTGTTTACAGCGCTCCCTTTCCATTATGAATGCAATATTTGCACATGTTAATGTGATGAACGTGGGGGTGGATATTTGTTACTAAATATCCTGCATTAAAAACTGTCCTAATATGTTTATTTTTTTAAAAGAAAACTGCATTACTTGAATGAATTTTAACTCTTACATATGACTTAACAAAAATTTACTTAAAAAAATAAATGAACAACACATAATGAATCAAATTGACATCTTTATTGGTCATATATTTTCTTGTCTAGTAACACTTTACAAATTTCACATTTTCCTCAGGTGATACTTATAAAAATTTGTCATACTCGCCTGCACTTTTTTATTCAGAAGGCAAATATATTCAAGAATGGGAAAAGTTAAACAGGACCTTTTTTTTTTTTTAAATAGTACTAAAGTCAAACAAATTTTCATAAATTAAAATATAAAACAAAGACAAAAACATATATTTTCAATAGAAGCTTAATCTTGTTAGATATTTATTTCCAATATATACAATATGCCACAATTATATCACTCTTCTAAGCAAATCAGTTTTAAGGAGGCAAATTCAGCAATTTTAATAAAACCCTAACAGAATTAAAAACTTCAAAAGAAAAAAAGTATACACTTAACAAGTGAAGTGCTCAAAAACATTTAGTGCTAAAAACATATATAATAACCATCTAGTAAACTTTTAATAATTAGAAAATAACAAGATTAGCAAAAGGGCATTGTAACAAAGATAGCTTATAACAAGAATTGCTTGTTTTCACAGTTTTATATTTGCATTTATTTTAATTTGGAATTAAAATGATAATGTAAATATTAATAAATTTCAAATAAAATAATGATATTAATTGATACTACACAAATTTCAATGAAACATAATGTAAAAACACAATTTCACTCATTTTTTATTCTAATATAAATTGTGACATCTTGGTATTATTTGTATAGTAAGCACGGATGCTTAATACATAATATTCATTATTTGAGCAAATTGGACAGGAAACTATAAAGTGGCTTTAATAAACACTTATGGCCATGGTATGATTTACTTACAATATTTTTAAACACAAAAATGCTCGACTGTAATAAAAATTTTAGGGCAAATTATTCAAGAAAGATAAATCAAACAATGAAGAATAGAAATACTTTATCTGATATAAAACATCTTACTCCTAAAAATTTCATATAAATATTAGATGGAAGAAACAGCAATTAACTTCCTATGTTGCCTGTGTTTTAAAAAAAGTGCATAGTAAATGTACTAATTCTTCTTCACTTATTTATATATGTACACAAATATGTACAAAAACTGTTCAACAATATCTTTTAGCTTTCTTTGAAGCCATCTCAGGCTTTTTTTCTTTGCAGTCATTTTACAAACAATTACAAAAAATTAAATCTGTAGTCATGTGGCAAGGAATATCAGGTTGAATATATTAACATTCAAGAAGTTACATCAACTTATTTTTTTTTTTTACACCTTTGAAGACAGATTAGAAAAACTTTTCTTTAATAAATAGCATTATCACAAAATATATAATGCCAAAATTCTATTATATCAGCATTTTTGCAAAACAAAACTCCTCAACACAGATGGCATGGCTAGACTGAAATATAACATACGAGACGAGATATTTTAACATACGTAAAAAATAGGTATGAAAAATAGCAAATGAACTGTGTGGACGAATAATTTTAAAATGCAAACAAAATCATGGCTAACAAATTATCTTATCATTTAAGCAATTTAAAAAAGGAAATGAAAAACTATTTAAATTTTCCTTATTCACATTCACATTATTTGCTTTACAAAACGTAAACCATATTTTTTCAGACACAAGTCTACAATAATATTTCTTAAAGATTTATGTCATTTATATACAAATAATTTAAATATTCTGTAATTGATTTCTTTCATATGTGATAAAGCACGACACTATTCATATCCTTCAATTTTAACGTTTCCTTTAAAGTGATAATCATAACTGATTACTTATAAAAATGGCATATAAATTTAACAGCAAAAGAATTTTGTGTTCAACACAATTATTTCAAATAAAATAATTTTAATTACTTTTCAATGTATTTTATCCTAACATATTTTCACAAAAACTTATTACTGTGTTATTAAAAAAAGAATATAATGCTGTCTAAACACTTCACGTAAACAACCTTATAAAGTTATTATTACAGAATATAGTTCATGTAAAAAACACAAATAAGCATTATTAAACGGTGATTTGAAAATTAGTTGAAGCCAATTCACATAATTAGATGAAGGCGGCAAAATGATTTAAAAAATTTGCCATGATAAATGAGATAGATGATCTATGTACAATGTAAATAAACACTAATTCTGTAATTCTGTATCTTGTGTACCAGCTGCTATGAAGCACTCTTAAATGATACAATCTTAACATAACAAACATAAAAAAACTAAACTTTGTTAGACTTCATTATTAGCGATGTTTTAATAAAATTACTATTTTACAATTTATTAGAAAAATTAGCTCTTTTCCTTTCTTTCCAAAAACAAATAAAGCTATATACAATTTCTGTATTACCTTGCTTTCTCGAAACAGCAGCTGGTATAAAAGAGTAGAACTAATAATGTTGAAACATCATTGAGCAATTAAAAAAGATTAATAAAAAAACCCGAAGCACAAACTGTGAAGAGAACAAAAATTTTCTACAAAACAGAAAAATATGTTATGACTGACTGCAAGGCAAAACAGGGAAAAATATTTTCCCTACATATATTATATAAGAGCACCATCTCTTCGAATGGCAGGAGCACTTTTTGTTTTTTCATCTGCTACCAATTAGCCATTCCTGGCTTATTGAGAGTCATAAAGTATATCTGGCACGAAGAACCTCCCTTGGCTGATGAAAAAAATACCTGCAAGTACAAAAATTCTATTTAACTTTTTTGATGTATTAACACAATGGCTAAGTCACTAAATTAACTGTGAAACAGAAAATATACAAAGTCAACTTCCAGTTTGCTGGGGATTGACATCAACAATTAACCCAACATGAATTTTAGTACATTTGTTACAAATTATGCATAATTAAATAAATATATATATAAATCAAATTACTTCCTATGTTAATATGAAGAGGTTAATCAATTAAGGCAAAGGAACTCAAGTGCTATCTGCCTATGAAAAGGGTGCTTTTGTGGAGACAATTTTTAAGGGCTGAATGCTGTTTGTCAACCAAAATGATTATAAAGCAAATAATTTTCCTCACAGGAATTAAAGTAAAATGGATCAATTCATGCCTAAAACAAAGATGATCGCTTATTTAAAGTTTACAACAGTACTTTGAGCCCAAGTTCATAGCTCAGAATCATAACCACACATAAATGGACATAAGCAAAAACGGAAATCATTAAATTAAAAAACAAAATATCAAATGGATTAAAACTTATTTTAATTTCACTATACCTGCATGACATATATTCTGGCATATAATGTGCACTTTTAATAAAAAAAATAGGACTGAAATTTATAGGTGTGCATTGTACACCAGATATAAAAATGACAGATTAAAAATAAGGAAAATATTTCATTTTTACATGCACCAAAATGCTGCTTATTTATAAAAAATGACACACATTATGAAACTAAACATTTTCTTTATTGGATAACAAGAAGAGTTCATTATGTTTGTCTTTAAGACATCCAGAGATTTTTTACAGTGTTAAAAAGACTTTTTAAATGATAAAAATATAGTTTTTAATAATGAATTAACTTTAAATAGTAACTAATTCTTAAATGCAAGCAACACAAAAATACCTTACACATAAAAAACATTTTTATTACTTGCATTGTTTAAAAAAAAAAAAAGACACTTTAATCAGTTTTCGTACAAATGTTATAAAAAGTGGCAGATTTTGCTTTCTTTAAAAAAGAAGCTTCATAATTTTGTTCACAGCAATTGTCACGTAGGCCTGCTTTCGCTAATAAAAGTTTTTCTAATGTGTCATCACTAATATTAGATCTAAATTTAGTCCTCGTTTTTGCAACAACACTGAGAATCCTCTCAAACTCTGCATAACTATGGGGAACTGTCAAGATGGCCAACACAATTCTAGACAGTTCACTATATTTTAAAATTCCATCAGCACCTTTCAGTTTTCCAATTAAACTCCACTGGGTGTCAATCCTATCTGATTTTATAACTTCATCCAAGTTTTCTAATTGTAAACTGCTGTTGTGCAAGCTGTTGGAACTGTTTCAATTTTTCCTTCCTTTTAGAACTCCTTTCAAGATAATAATAAATATCAACAATGTGTTCATCCACATTTATTAGTAAAGAAGCTGCCCCTTTTTCAGCTGCTAAATTTAAGAGGTGACAGGTGCACCTCATAATCTGAAAATTTGAATTTTCCTTTCTTAAGATGCCTGCAACACCAGTCTTTCAAGCCTACCAATACTGGTGCATTATCGGCACCAGGCGCTAAGCAATTATCCATAGAGCCTGCATTTTCTTTTAAAGTTTTAATAATTAGCTGCGCTATATTAAAGCCTGTCAAATGTCCTTCTAAAGTGGGAACAGAAAGTAAATTGCACTCAGTTTCTGAAGACTCTGGGTCAAAAAAAGAAACAACAAATAGATACAGTTTTGAATTGGTATTATTGCTTCCATCCGTAGAAAGGCAGAACGGAGCTGTTTTAATGCATTCAATAACTGAAGATTTATTTTTCAAACCCATTTCTTTAAAAATTGCACCTGTTTTGATTCTTGCACCTTGAGTATTTCTTAGCGATTTCACCATCGGGAAACATTTTTCTAAATAAAGCTTCAGCATGATCCGATGCATTCAGTGAGAGGTTGTGCTCCAGTAAAAAGGCAGAGAACAGACATTCTGCATTAATAACTTTTTGATTCTTTGTTTTCGAAGAAAAATTTAATTTTTCATTTTTTTAAAAACAACTCACGTTATCCTTGTGTTTTTGTGTATGCATATGTTTGAGAACATCCGCCCAACCAAAAATGGAAATCATTAGATACAAAATAAAAAAGATAAACACAATATCAAACAGATGAAAACTTAATTTCACTATATCTTTTTGAAGGAGAGTGAACAACAGAACAGGGAGAAAATGGAGGACGAAGATAACAAATTCTGCATACTTAAAAAATTATAAATTTAAATAAAATTCATGCCTTTTTCATCAAAAGGTTAACTAATTAAGGCAAAGCAATTGTGGAGAACATATTTAATGGGAAACTGATTCATAACCTCATTATACATTGGAAAAACCATGAACCCCCATGCAGTCAGGATCTGAACCCAAAGCGAACTATCAGCGATTCAGTGACTCTCCCGCTTGGCTGCTGGTTACAAAAATTTTAATATAGTGAAACCTCCGTTCATTAATTTGAGCAACGATTTGAGCATAATTACTTGATTTTTTTTTTCTCATGAGCCATTTGTTTATTAAACTAAATTATTATCTTTCGAGAAGAAAAGATTGACATATTTATGGAGTACCACTAAATTTAAAATACACCTATTTGAGATTTAAAGTGAAGTAAAAATATACAAGGTATCCTAAAATCAAAAATTCGCCAATTTCCAATTTTTAGCGGTACAGATAACCAAAGCAAATTTGTTTCGTTATTTCATTACGTTTTAAACAGACGTTCAAAACATTCAAATTTTATTTATTTACTTTAATAAACAAAAGATTACCACCACCTCCTTGAATTATTTGGTATTGATCTAATAGTTCATATATTTTCCAAGCAATGGTTTAAGATATACTCAGTTTTTCAGAAGGTAAAATATTTCAAACAGTGACTGTTTTGAAGAAGTGTTTTATGCAATAGTTCTTATAATAGTTATTTTCTACTTTTATTTTTACTTCCACTTTTTCTGTTTTCATTTTCCCCAAGATGTCGGAAGAAAAACATAAAAAACTGTCTGTTTATTAGAATTTAATGAAGAAAAAGAAAGCGAGAGGAAGACTTAATAAACCAGAACTCCAATTTACTCAGTTTTTGCAAAACCCAGAGAATACCCAAGCTGACGCTACTAGCACTCACTAGTTGTCTATCAACGTGTCAGCTATCATTGAAATTACCAGAAGAACCTAATAATTAGAAAGAATTAGATAGTGTTTTCACCCGGGAATTACCTTTAACTTCAATGCAGCCGTTCGAAAAAAAAAAAAAAAAAAAAAAAAAAAACAGAAGAAATACAAGTAAAATCTACAATTTTTGCAATAGACACATGCATTTGCCTGTGCCTGATGATTCTGGATTATGCCCAAGTCCATTATTGAAATCCCAAGTTCAAGAAATAGAAAATGGTCCTGGATATTATGAAAACCTGGTTTCCAGTTTGTTTCCCAAAAGTAAATGCTTTTAGATATATTTTTGTTGAATCTTGCTAAACAACGAAAGAGTTAAAAGGGATTGGTTGCTAATTCATGCTGATAAAAATTCTGTTTATTGTTTTTGTTGCAAAAATTTTAACAGTTTCAGCAACGTAAAATTGAATAGTTCTGAATTTAATGACTGGATCCATTTAAACGAACACTTAAAAACTTCATGAAAAAATAAAACGCATTTCTAGAATCTGCATCTTTGGTCCGATTTCTTAGAACGATTAAGAAAGAATAAACCCGTTGATTTGGAATTTCAAAATTTATTAAAAAAATAGACTAAGTATTGGCACGATGTTATTGAAAGAATTATCTATACCATTCAGCTTTTAGGTAAACAAAACTTAGCCTTCCTTCGTTCCAGTAACAAATAATAATTTTTAAAGTATATAGAAATGATCACAAAATATGACCTTATAATGTCTGTATATATTAATAAAAGTCAAACTCAAAAAAATATGCCTCATTACCTTGGAGATAAAATTCAAAAATGAAACAATTAGCTTATCAGGAGATAATATAAAGCAAATTATTTTAAATACGGTCAAACAGGCAAGGTATTTTTTATTTTACTTGATTGTACCCATGAGGTATCTTAATATAGAAAATATAGACATGAGTATTGAAGAAAGGATTTCATGTTACAACAGATAGGATCGGTGAAGGACGAACAACATTCTTATTAAAGGTTTTAGAGGAAAATGGTTTAGATATTAGCAATTTACGTGGCCAAGAATAAGACAATGGTTCGAGTATGGGAGGTAAACAGTTTTCGAGTAATTATGCTCAAACCGTTGCTTTTCCCGATTAAAAAAGTTAACCTAAGTTTAATATAATATGCAACTGCACTTACATTTTTTTAATATAGAATAACAACAAGCAATCACAAAAACATAAATGTTGCACAAATTACTACGATTGCAACAGCAGATACAAAATAAGGATTAAGCAATTTGTCAAATGCATCTACACTTATATACGCATTGGCGTCACGTATTGTCACATTCAAATAAGAGAGAAGAAAACACCAGAGACCAACTCCTGCCCTGGTTATAACTTTCGATCAAATAAGACACTGTGCTAGGAGGAAGGGACACTCGGACTGGCAAGCTCTTAACACAGTTAAATGCCCCAACCCCTACAGGCGATCCAAGAGGCCGCTAACCTAGCCAACGAGCTAAGACGAGTCAACAAGAATACTCGGCAACTGACATTCCATGTCCCCATTCCGGAGGGATGGTAAAAACATCTGCCATCAACAGGGGTCCCAACCCTGGACAGCAGAATGAAGTCACTTAAGCAATGTCAGACAGACCATCGTCACTACTAACACTATCATGGTATACAGACGTCGGCCCCCCAGGGAGAAACCAGGGAAGGATATGAATATGCAATTTTGAGGCTCCAGCCGCCCACTGGGAACTCGAGCAGTTTAAAGGCTCACTGAATTAGCCGCCTCCACCAACAGGGATGTTTCACCCCAGACAACAATCAGTATCTGACTATATAGTTCCACCACAATCAATGGAATGGACGAAACAGTAACCATATGGTCCCTGACGAGCCTGAAACAGCCATCGCCAGCGATGACTCCAGTCCTGTGGAGACTGATTTAAAACACCCGGGGCCGAGACTTCCTAGGTATAGATCTTAATCAGTAGCTTCTCAGGTTTTACCTGAGTCAACCCCCAGAAGGGCATTCAAATAAGACAGGGGGAGGGAGACCACTGGGTGAGCAGCTGTGCCACCATAAAGACTTTCAGTTTTATTGCTCACTCAGTGGGACCATGTACATTTAAATTTTATAATCTATACAATATATGACATTTGAATATATACATTAAATCATTATACATAGATAAAATATATATACATTAAAGTTATAAGAAAAATTTTGCTATATATACATAATTAATTAATTCTAATTTGAAAGTTCTGTAATAGCTGCGGAGATGAATTTTAGAGTTTTTAAGAGTTCTTAAGTGTTTATGAATAGTTCACGGGAATTTGACTTAATAAAGTACATACGTTCAATTAGTACACTAGAATCAGAGTTCTTAGGAGTTTATAGAATTATTTAAAAGGGTTAAAAGTTTATAGGTTCCTTTTTGATGTCTTGAGTATCAATAAAGTATCTTGAGTAAGACAAAAACATGTTCAAATAAAACAAGAACTTTCCTGTTTAGACAGGCAGCGAGACGGGCTGCTTGTTTTAATGATTACCAAACAGCTTTATGACTCTGCGCACGACCCTGCACCTATTATTCTTGGCGCAGGCCTGCCTGCACTGGAAAGATGCACTTTGAGATGTTTCTGTTTCAAAAGCACCAACAACAATCGCCAGTGGCTTTCATGATTCTTCAGCTGGATACAACATGAATAAACTTTAAAAATATTCAGCAAGCTGATTGGTAAGATTCATGGAGAAATTTGAGAGCTGCAGCCACAGTTACTAAGAATAGATAAATCGTATGCAAACACATACATAAAAACAAATATTTACCTTATCATTTCTCTCACATAGAAACTTTAATTTCTGGGCTTTCTTATGCATGAAAACACCATCTAAATGACCAGTTTCTACATTACGTATTTCTATTGCTTTGTTGCCCCATCCCATTATTTGGCCTGTTCCAATGTATGCTGAAATAAAATATTAACAGATACTTTGTTTAGTAGTGCTATCAAATAAATGTGTAAATACATAAAACACATTACACATTCATATTATTTTATAATACCATATCACCCATTTTGTCTGGTTTTCTAGAAAAACTAAAAAACTATTAGAACAACTACACCATATATTTTAAAAAGTATAAAGGGGAAAAAACTCTCATTCTGAATATTTTATTCTTAAATTCCTGTCAAAGATAATTCAATGATAAGTAACATAGAAGGGAAATTTCATTTTTAGTGTTTAGTGACAGATGCTAACAGAAATGCAAATAAATTATAAAATCATAAAATTATTCAAAGATTTTCATTAAAGAATAATATATATGAAAACAAGAAGTTACAAAAATTCATACCACTTATCAAACGAGGAAAAGGTGGCTACACAATGATTGCACCTCTACATTTTGCAGTATGCTATTAATAATGATGTTCAAGGGTAATTTTTAAAGCCAAAATTCTGATAGGGCAATGTTTTTTTGTTGCTTTAGAATGTGGTTCATACACAGGATAAATATATCTGATTACAAGCTATCAAACAAATACTGCACTGAAAAATTGGAGAAATCTCTTGAAATGTACTAGCCCAAATAATTCTGTTTATCATACACAGCTTTAAAAATACACAGCTTTTCGTAAAAGAACTGTAACTCTTTGTGAAATTTTATTTAAAGTATTAGTCCCACACAAAAAGAAATTCATAAAATTATAATTCTTACACAGTAACCTAACCATATTCAATCAATTTGCAGAAAACTCCTTGATTCAGAAATGGATTAATTATGTAATTTGATCCAACAGATTTTTATTTTTTATTACTTGTCACTATAAAGAATATTAATATGTTGAAAATAAGATTGTTTTAGACTGATCATTAAAATTTATTCAAACAATTTTCCTTAAAAAGGCAAATTTTCTTTACTGCCCCTTTTCCCTTCCTTAAAAATAAACAAGGCATTCTTATTAAGATCATAAAAAGCAAGAACTGAAACTGCATAAAATCAAAACTGAAAAAATTACTTAGCCAAGGAAGAGTCCAGAGATATGTCAGCCATACAGAGTCTAGCATTATCCTGTTGGTAAATGGCTCCAGTATGGCATGCCACAAAGCATGCAAATGGCCACAGGGAGTCATCAACAGATTATAGACCTGTTCAAGATATATGCAGGATGACAAAGGATACCTGCTGTCATAAGAGATACCACAACCACATCATCACACTAGATGGCTGTGCGCCACTGTAAAAAAGGGCCTTCCACATGTGGACCCAACAGTCATCTGTTCCAAGATTGAAGCAGGATTTATTACTGAATACTATACAATGCCATTTGTCTGGCAGCCATGATGTTCAGCTATGACATAACTCCAGACGATGCTGTTGATGTTGTGGAGTTAACAACAGACATCTTAAAGGCTGCTATCAGTGCAATCCTGTTTCTGTTAAGCGGCTGTGAGATGATGGAAAGTGTCACAGCTAGTATGGAAGAGGCTGTACCCCACTGGATGGCAGACAATGACACTGCAGCAATTTGGGTCTGTTGGAAAGCCATCCAATCTTATTTTATATTCATGCACTTTTGTTTTCCACAGCTTTGATTCCGCTCTTAAATACCCTGCAGCAATGACTGTTGCCAGTGCCTTTGCACAGCTGTGTCATGTGGTGCAGGTGGCAGCTTATTACTTGATAGGATCAGCCCACTTCACACATCCGAACTACGCAATCACATTCGAAATCATTCGATTTCCATAAAGTTTTTGACAACATAATAACAGCATTATTGGTTATGCCTCCAGAAAACTGCAGTGTCAACAGATACTTATAAAGGGTGATTCCTCCCCCCCCCAAAAAAAAGAGTGTGCATTTTGCTAAACAGGTAAAAATTTCCAAATGCAGATGATAATTCTTAAGGTGGATTTTCATTCAAAATGAAAAATTTATAATGAGAAACACTGTCTACTAAAACATTTTAGCAAAAATGTGGACTGTCTGAATACTTATGCAAGTTTCTTATTAACACTTTTTAAACAATTTATTTTATTACAAGGATTATGATAATATTTATTTTACAACAAGCAAGGCTTCTTGTAAGGCAACAAGCAAAAGAGGAAAAAAAATGTATTATAAGTCTATGTTCAAGATCTATCCAAATAAAATTCAAAACTACAAGTGCCCAAAAACAAATGTAAGCCACTGTATATACAGTAAAAATTCAACAATCCAGAAAGCTCGGGAAATGCTGTATACATGAAATTTCCGAAAAATTGAGCGTATAAATAATGGTATCCAGGTTAGAAAAGCCAAATCATAGGGGAAAATTCCTAGTCTAGAATTATAAAAACATTCTTCTTATTTGTTACTAACTTGAATACCAAAAATCCAAGTTATGTAAGATTTTTTAAAGGGGAATGAATTTCAGACATAAAAGTCGATGTATTTTGTAGGCCTTAAACATAAAAGTAAAACATCTTATTCAATTATGAAATCCCACTAAACATGAAAGTTGGGGGAGAGGTTGATAAACTTGCAGAAGATTGAAGAACGGATCAATCAGCAAAAGCTTAAAGAACAGATTATTCTTTATTTAGTCAGATAATAAACAGATATAACTTATAGCACATAAAAAAAACTTTAAAATATTCCACTGCATGATGTTAAATATTAAGCAGGTCCTGAATGTTAATCATTCCCCCTCCCCAACTGTGAAGCAAACTCAAAATTGACAAACTTCTTCACAAAAATTAAGCTGACATATCAAGAATTAATCAGATTTACATAAAAGCAAGGCAAAGTTCTTATGATTATTTTATTGTGACATCATACTTATATCTATTATTGGTGCTAAATCTCTCTGTTTGGTGACAATATACTATATATGCTAATAGTATAATGAGCTCTATAGTGATGCTACAAATCTTTCATTTAAATTTGGTATTTATTTATTTATTTAAATATTCCAGTTATATGAGCTTTCTCCAATTACATGAATGCCGGGATCACGCCTTTCTATATATATATATCAATGCAAATATCATATATGTCCAAATCTGACCTTCACCAGCTTTGAAATAAGTAATTACTTTTCCTCAGAACTGATGTACCACTTCATTTTTGTTTTCAGCATAAATTGCTTGAGCATAACTTTAGGTGATGCCATATTTATTATTTCTTAAAATCTAAGAAGGATATTTAAAAGCAATAAAAGGAATTCTGATTCTTAGGAATAAGTCAAGACACAAGACTGAAAATTCAATTCATATATGCAAAACACCACTTTTATACAACAAAAGCAACATTCTACATCATAGAAGAAGTTGCAGTCATGCATAGAACATTTTGAAGTCTACATGTTAAAGTAACACATTAAAAATTTATAAATCTGTAAGCATATTTCAGGGAACTGCATCTTTCAAAGAAAAACAAAGTGAGAAAGGAGGGGAAATGAGAAAAAAGAAAACGGCTTTATTAACATTGCTATTTTTTTATCATGAGGATAGTACTATATATACTATCCTTTTATACAAGGTGTTGCTATTAAGTTCCAGGACTGCTCTAATAACATCAGAACAGATGATGTGAAAAACGTAACCTTTTAATATGTTTCAAAGTAATCCGCATCTGCCATAATACACTTCTGTGCTCGGCTGTATAAGTTTTGAAAAACAACTCTTAAAGTCCTCTTTGATAAGGCTGTTCAACGTGGACGTCACGTTGCATGACAATGCCCGGCCCCACATTACGTTGCCAGTGAAGAGGATTTGGGCCAAGCATGCGGTTGTGGAGCTGCACCATTCGCCATACTCTCCTGACTTGGCCCCCGCAGACTTGATCAAAGGAACATGCTTTGTGGATGTTGAAGACATCAAGAAGAACGTGACGTCGATATTGAAGGGCTTCCGAAAGGACTTTAAAAGTTGTTTCCACAACTTATACAGCCGAGCACAGAAGTGTATTATGGCAGGTAGGGATTACTTCGAAACATACTAAAAAGATGACGTTTCTCACATCATCTGTTCTGATGTTATTGGAGTAGTCCTGGAAATTAATAGCCACACCTCATATATCAAATTATGAATTGAAAGTTCAAAGATATAATTTAAACTTACCCACAGATGTTGGCATCTCCCCCCACTGCAGGACAATATTTTTACTAACTTTTCCATATGTATTAACATACACTCCTTCGTCTAAAATGAAATTTGAACATTAAATACCGAATAAATTGAAGTACAAATAATAAAAGAATGACTGATTACATTAAAAAAATTACAAATGCTACTATAATTTAAAAATATTGAGAATATGAAGCAAAACAACATAAAAATATCAAGCAGTACATCTAACACGATAAAAATTTTCCTCTTAGCTTTCCAGTTAGAAGTTACTTCTGCAGAACAAATAAAAACTGTTTTCCATTTCTGTTTGATAACTATGAAATCACATACACTTTTACACCTTGCTAACAATCCATAATAATGTGTGCAATCAGTAACGTACGTGTTGTACTCAGAACTGTATAATGAACACGTAGCACTAATACTTCCAAATAGAAGGTAAAAATAGAGGTGTGGTTTTATTTATTTATTTATTTATTTCTGCAGAATAACTTGCACCAATAGAAGTTCTAGCATTTCATTATAAAAATGCAATTACGGCTCCCAATTACAAGGCAGTGTACACACTGAGGTAAATGGGAATATAGGAATCAGAAATTGGATGCCCTTTTATGGGAAATATTTGCTCTATATTCCAGATCTATTACTTGAATTTTTCATCGCAACAAAGGGAAGAGAATTTAACATTAAGACTCTCCAGGTAGCAAACAGTAGAGTTCTGTAAGAAGGTGGCTTAATTTTTTGTAAATAAAATAAATTAACTGGATCAAAGAACCCTCAAAAGAAAGCCCCCCCCCTATTATGCTTCATAAGAATGAAACCTGCAATTCACAAATATTACAAACAAATGATTTTATAATCAATCTTTTTCATTTATCAATTATCAGCCTTCAAGTGACACAACATTGTTCCAGTCTTTACTTAGATCATAAAGCACAATAAATTAACTATAATAATTTACAAGCATTCCCTGGTCAAAGAATTTATGAAAAGAAACTTATCACTGGTAGCATTTTTAAAACATGTCATTCATAAATATCTAAAATTGGAAATTCCTGTCAATCATTTTTGCCTATTAAAGAAAAGACGCCAAACTAAGCGATTTTTTGCCAAAAATAGAAAAGTCTTCTTCAAACATGCTGGGTTTGGTGTAACCTTGATTATACGTGTTATTATTCTTGAGTCAAAGTTCCTTCCCCCCCCCCCTCTAACGCATTTTCAAAATATATATATATATATAATTTTTTTTTTTAAATTTATTTGGGGCCTGCCTAATAAAATAATTCAAACTTGTATTTTCTCATGAAAATAATTGCTTTTACAGCATATCTCCTTAATACAAAAATAATGGAAATTTTTTAATGAAAAATTAAATATAAATAAATAAATGATAATATAATAAATTTGTAAGAAAAATAAGAATAGAACATTTTTTCTTGTATTTAGTAAATGGGGATTTTTGGTTTGGCACGATTGGCACTGTCTCTTGTAGTCGACAGGATTTTCTGTACATCCCAAGAAATTAATTGAATTTCAAGATTAAAATGTATTTATTTATTATCACAGAGCCTGCACAAGCTTTAGTACTTGGAAAGAATACCTTCTATGATGGATTATCTTATTACTTTTTTCAAGATAAAGAAAATTAATTTCAAGCATATTAATGCAAATTAAATTTCAAGGTATATTTCACCTAGGAAAAAAGCTATTGCTGTTATGAATAAGTTCTCAGCAATTTTGCCTGAACAGTCCTAGACAAGCTTTACAATTCTGAAAAAGCAATATCAAATGTACCCAAACATATCAATCAGCATAAATAAAATATGGCTAATATCCAATCAGTGTTAACTAATATGGCACTTTTAGATGAATTACTGATTGAATGCTTTTAAAGGCGGGAAATTAGTTATTTAGTTTATTGATTATAGCAAAGCACTTATATACAAAGGAGTGGAGTGCCTCTCTAAAGCAAACCGACTCATATTATTATAAGTCATGAAAATGAAATAAAGCCAGCTCATCCACTGAAAACAGCATGTGAACCACAGTACTCAGTGATCTTTCCCATTTAACCTCCCATGAACAAAATTTTTTAGTATTTTTAATCAAATGCAGATAAATAAAACAGTAAAAATTATTGAACTTACTGTCGTAACACAGAAGAAGCTGTAAACCTTTGGAGTTTGGAAGAGTGACTATCGTATGAGGAGAAATAGGGCCCTGAGACTGAAACAGAAAAAGTATTATGTAGAAAACTTATGAAAATACACTGTTAAAAAGGTGATATTGTAATGATTTATATATTAAATGTTTTCTGAAAAATACAAGCACATAAATAATTGCAAAATGGTTACAAGCATATCATTGTAACATTTTCTACAAAAGATCATATAAAATATATGACAAATAAATCCCCATTTTTATTACATTTTTAACTATGTAAATGCATATCAGTACCTGGTGAAGACAGCTATGATAAGTAGCTATTACAAATAATGCAAGAACCTATTGCCTTGAACAACTTTCAAAGCACGTTTACATTTATAAAACACTATCACATTCTCTCTGGGAACTCAGCGTAGATAAAACTAACTATATTCAGTACTTCTGCAAATTATTAATTGATAAAAAATATATACTGTGTAAGTATTTCTGAAAGTCTCTTCTTGCATGAACAAGATTTTTACACTAACATTAGCGAAATTTCATATGCATCTTCAACTAACATGCACTTGAACTTTAATCAGATAATCAGATTAGATCACCATTTTTAAGAAGTTATTTGATCATTCATATGAGTAAAAAGAGATCAATCAATTAAATGTGACCAAATATCAATCACAAAATAAAATATACTTCTAAATCTTTAATTAGCTTCGCATAATGAGTTAAAACATCAATTATTATTATTCCATAAACAATAATTATTTATTTTCTCTGAAAATTGGAATTATTCTGTTATAAAAAAATCTATTTCATACACAAGAAACTCTGAAATTACATTACAGTTTTAGATTTGGTAAGATGAATGTGCAGACAGACACACATATAATACTAATTATTTTTATGATAAAATATAAATATTATCTACTAAATATATCATACAATTTAAACATAACATATACTATGATTTTTGTTTCTTTAAATAGCAATCTATTTTAAAATACTTCTTCAAAAAGCAATTAAAGTGAATTTAAAAGAAAACTATTTTTAATAAAAAAAAGGAAAATGAATTAATACTGCAGGTATTATATCAAAATATAAGGGAGGCATATGTATTCAGCTACACCATTAAGTTTCACCCTATGCATTAAAATGGTTTAACCATGAAATGAAATAGATAAAAATTTAAGAAATGAAAGCTGAAACAATGCTTTGAGAAACTGGTCATACCTATACAAAGTAAAGAACTGTTCATAACCATGGTTGACATTTCAGAATTATTAATGCAAAATAATAAAATTTGTATTCAGAGAATCATAGAATTTAAAAGCTTATAAGAAATTGAGAAGATAAGCTGATTTTGCAATAGCTTTTTGGTATTTCTTTCAAGGGAACTATTAAAGCAGATGAGAGAATTTTACATCAAATAATATGCAAGATGAGAATTTACTTTATAATAATTGCAAATAGGAAACACCATAAAATAATTTACTTGGTTTTTATACAAAATCAATGCCTCTTTGCTCATGAATGTGTTACACATGTACATGTGTTATACATGCATTTAAATATGTTACACATACATTTACAAAGTATTTTGAGTTTTCAGATAATATCCAAGCCTTAACTTAACATGTAAAGAGCAAAGTACCTTTTCTCGACATTATTTTACATATGAAAATTCACATAAATATTTGTCTTTAAATTTTAAATTGAACATAATTATTACACTGTTCACATACATATTTTAATCCCTTTAACAATACACTAATTATCATTTTAAGAAAGAAAGAGATGGAAAAGATTATTTCCTTTCAAATAATATATGACTTTTGAAGAGAGAAATAAAGATTTTAAATCAACACTCAGTCTAAAAATATACATATTTTTAAATTAATAGCTTTTAAATCTGTATCTAAAATTAATTTTGTTACACATTTTAAATCCATTTTGAAGTTATTTTCTCATAAATTTTCATACTTTTATTTGAACTATTTGAAAATTCTGTATTTATTTAACTTATGAAGTAAAAATTTGTTTTTTAGTGCAAAAAGTGTGAAAAATTAATTGGGCATGCTAACTATTTATCCACGACAGCATAAACAGGGAAAATGTGATAATTCTTACAAGTTTTATTTTTAGAAATATTTTCTATTTATGAAACTATTTATGGCAATAAGAAAGAAAAAAAAAATAGTGGTCTACTACTATCAAATGTGATTAACTAAATATCGATTACATTAAAGGTCTTACCATTCAATAATCAAATTACTACTACTTTAATATAAACATTTGCTTAAAAGAAGGACTAATTTGCCTTTCACCTCACAAACATTAAATATATGCATATTACAGAACATCACAAGATTGATTCCATAGACACATAATATAACAAATCACTCGAACCTTAGTCTTATTGTGCTCGTGCAGAATGTTTGAGAAAAGAAGCCACAAGCTTCACCTCTTTCAATATTTATCTAATACTTTTTTTTTTTTTTTAATCAAACAACTTTTAAAAAATAAGACACAGAATTCTGTGAAAACGATTTCCATGCTATGGTAGGTCCAATAAAAAATTAATGTTTATACGGCTTCTGTAGAAAAAAACTCTAATAATTCATATTTTAATGTTTAGTCTGTTGGTTTATTACTCAGAGCAAAACATTTACATACTGTCAAAAAAGATGAAATATCTTAAATGATTGATGATGAATTAAAAATAAAATTTAGATTTAATTTTTACAAAATATAGGAATTATTTTCATAAAATATTCTTACTCACAAACTTGGTCATTAGAAGTAATTAAATATCTGCAATTAGAGTTTTTTAGGTGTTGGGGATGGGAGTTTGAAACCATCTTTTCTTAACACCCTATGTATAATATCTATACACAAAATATATACAAATGGTGATCAAAAGTTGCACACAGTAAATTTTCAATAACTGCAGAAATTCCAAACAGTATATTATTGGTAAATTGTTTCAAAGGATGACACCCTGACATATACTGTTATAAGAAATATATTAGATGAAATTTCATTTAAAATTTTTAAAAAAAAAAAAAAATTCTTTGATGGAATATGAAGATGAGCTTTCTCATGCAAAACAGATTTCAATAACTGAATATTATTTCCTTGAAATGTTTAAAGAAATCTTTCCAAATGTTTATGAAGCTAGCAAGATAACGATTTTCTGATCTTGAGAAAGTGGAAGCATTCATCATAAGAAATGAAGTAATTGCCTATCTCCTCTGAGTCCAGACAAAATTAAGAATGCAATGTTGCATTCAACAACTTAAAATGTGAGAAAGATGCCATTGTAATCAAATCTGTGTCTTATGAAGTAATGTACAATTTTTAAAAAACTTATTTTGCTTGGGAAAAAGCTCATTTCCATCTTGCACCAAAGAGAAGATTTTTATAGTATGGCATGGCAACTGAAATATTGCTTATAATAATATAGGGTTGCCATCCCTTGAAATAATCTGCCATTATATTCAATCTGGAATTTTCATAATTACTGAAAGTTTGAACAATTCGCAAATTTTAGATAACTTCATAAGTTTTTTACATTCTGGATTACAGTTATGCTAAAGGTCTAAACTTATAAACTACATGACAAAGTTTCAAATTGGTGAAACAATTCAAATTATTAATCATCCAATTATTTGCTGTAAGATTATGTATTTTGTATTTGAATGTCCACTCTGCTCCAAGAAAAATTCTTGAATCTTTCCAAATTCTCAAAATTCTATCCAAATTCTCAAAGAAAAAAATATTACTCAAACATGGAAAGGGGAAGGAAAAAAACAGGTATTTTTGTATATTAAAAAAGGGGGAAAACTCAAAACATTGTTTCCACTGGGAATCTGAATTCCAAAGTAGATCCAAAATTTATCTAGCAGCAAAATAATCTAAAACTTCTGTAATTTCTTTCTGTAATTTTAGGTCTTTCCCTTTTACATCTGCATTTTAAGTACAGACAAAATAAGCAAAATAAAATATGAATATTTTAAAATATTATTCAAAATTAATTAATGGTTATTATTCAAGATCAATTAATGAAAATAATTACTTTCACCCACATTTAAATACATAATAGATGCATAGCAATCGCTGAAAGGTTTCCATAAATTTAAACATAGAATTTAAAGATGGTGATGTAATGTATCACCTATATTTGGAAGGAGAGCACGCGAGCCACTTTGGGCTACAAATTTAAAAACAGCATACCTTTAGAATTTTTAATAGACAGTCTTCTGCACTGGAGAGAAAAATGTTTTGTTCCCTACAGTGTTGCCATTGCTCGCTTTGAAATTATTGAGCTTGTTAATCAAAAATCCATTAAAATTTTACAAGCTATGAAATAGGCAATAAAACAAATTTGAAATTCAAAATTTGGGTTCCAGGTGCCCATGTTCAGGCAGAGTACTATTTTGTTCAAAATTTGATGACTCTAGGTACTGTTGTTTTTTAACAATGCGACAAACATACATACATTCTTGTAGATTCTTCATTATTTAGTTTTATTTTAAATATAATATAGGGCGATAGTATTTGGTTGCAACAGTTTAAAAAGTGATACATTGCATTTAAGTCATTCAACGCAAAATGCTGGGTTCCAGGTGCCCATGTTCAGGCAGAGTACTATTTTGTTCAAAATTTGATGACTCTAGGTACTGTTGTTTTTTAACAATGCGACAAACATACATACATTCTTGTAGATTCTTCATTATTTAGTTTTATTTTAAATATAATATAGGGCGATAGTATTTGGTTGCAACAGTTTAAAAAGTGATACATTGCATTTAAGTCATTCAATGCAAAATGCTGGGTTTTGAGACTAATAGGCCTTCTGAGTTAATACCCTTTTGGGCCTAAAAAAGCAACAATATGTTGTAGTTGTAAAAAAAAGGGGGCAGTCCACAAAATTTTTGAACCGTTAATTATTTTAAAAATTAGAAAATTATTTTAAAAAAAGCACAAATGCACAACATATTTTGATGGACCATTTGTTCAATTTGGTAACTACTGCATACCTATCCTCAAATCTATCCTATTACTATCCTCAAAATTTACTGAAATATTATGAACAGCCCAGTTCAAACACAGAAATGCATACAGACAGCTTTATTGAAATGCTCAATTATATGCAAATATTCATTTACATTAAAAAAAATTGTAATGCATCAAAATACTTAAAACTAAGTTGATATGATATTGTAAGTCACAGTGGGTATGGATATTAGGTTATAAGAAATAACATCAAATTTACCATGTGTACATTTTACAATTTTTAACTGACATATTTTCTCTCAAGCAATGCTTTTACCCCACAAACAAAACAAAAATATAAAAGTAAGAAAATTGTTTAAAAAATATGCAGTATTTCTTCTATATTATATTAAGTATGATAATGCTGTTTATAATTACAAAATGATCATAAATATGAAATTTAAGTTAAATCAAAAAGAATCTACAGATATAATTTTATTCTTTCCTTTTATCTCTTAAGTTTTAAACATTTCTCATAAAGGTTCAATAAAAATCTTTTTAAAAAAATTGTTTGCTTAAATCATAAAAATAATAGTTGTTGTACTAAGCTGCACAAATAACACCATGAAATAGAACTTAACTTTGGGGGAGAGCACAACCAAAAATTTCAGTTTGAAATTTAATCAAAAGATTGCCTTACACTGCCAGCTTATTGCTTAATTAATATTTAACAAAAGGAGACTTTTAACAAAAGGAGACTTCATTATACAACTGTTTCACACTATCAAGTGTTCTGTCTCATCTACATTCCATAAGCATGTGATCACACAATTTACAAATATGTTGAGTATAAAAGTCATTTGATGGCAGATTACAGATAACACTTTTAAATTGAAATGGTATTCATTACCGAACCATACCTTTGGGGTTCCATCAAATCACTATCTATAACTGCAGGATTATATCAAGCTACTACCATATTTGTGGAGTTATACCAAGTATACCCATGAGTCATTAACAGAGAGTTGTATCAAGACCTGGTTACACAATAAATATTACCTCACAACCAAAATCTATGAACATTAAATTCAGCAACTGCTGAGTATGAAAGACCAATCAATCACTCAATACCCTTATGAAGAACTACTTCACACGAGATGATGAAAGGGTACACCAATTTATATAAACACAACAAACAACTGTGTGATTTGATATCACATTTTCTCAAAGCATTTTCAGATAGTACTCTCTGTTGTAAGCATGATTTCTGAACACTTCTAATATATTCTTATAGAGGGGGAAAAAAAAAAAAAAAAAGACAAAGCAACATCTCATGGTGGATACTATGAACCTGAACCACCGGGATTCACCACATGTATAAAAGCTCTTTGTTCCACGTAATAAAAATTTTGCTACGTTCGCCAAAGGATGTTCGAAATTCATTGTGGACCATCAGCAGCTTTTCTTAATGACATGCGATGAGTTTCACTTGCTTACAGGTATCATTTTGTTGCAGCTGATACAGCGATTACAAGTAAAAGAGATACAACCGTAACGCACCATGTAAGACCTAGAATACCAATAAATTTGAAGACTCAAAATTCTTGGAATTTTCCAAGCAAAAACGTCACTGCTCACCAGCTGTGCTTGCTTGAGATTCTATTAGTGATGGTCCTTCCAATGTAACCTAAGTTCTAATTCTCTCAAAGTGCTGGATGACAGTTATTACAACTTTTGCATCACTCACCAAGTTTTTATCTATTCCTGCATATAAAACTAATGTAAAATAAAAGTACTTGATTCTCTGCTCAGGTGAAAATAATTTTAGCAGCAATGCCTTATAACCATATTTAGTTTATAATAACTCATGATTAAAACCCAAACGGGCCGGTGTTAGGCACTTTTCTGCCTGCTGTAATCTCTGCAAGGTCCTAAATTTTGCTGCCTGGGGCCTATATAAATTCTAAAAATCTCTAAACATTGTTGCTACGTGCCTAACTTAAATTCTAAAAATTTTGCTATCGTAAAAATTTTGTGCTTAGTACTTCTCTAAATTCTAAAAATGTTGCTGCACTAGCTCTGATACTGGCTTTGAATTCAAAAAACGTAAACCTGTATAAAAAACTGGACTTTTGTGGACAGACAGCTTCTTTTGAATACAATCTGATTTGCAGATCTACAGTTTCAATGGTTCAGCAATATCTATCTTCAAAATTTTCAAATCCCTCCCCTAAAAACAATCCAGATTTCTGTACAAGTCTTACAGTAAACTAAATCCTTATGCAGAAACATATCAATTTTTATGAATTTTTAAAAATTATAGTGACTTTTAGGCTATGCTGTGTGCAAATGCGTATCCCCCCCAATTCTGATAAAGCATAATATAACCTATTAGATAAAATGCAGGTAAAATTTTATTTCTAATTTAAACTACAAAGTATCTCTCATTTTAGATGGCATTTTAGAAAATACAGTGAAACCTTGGTTCATGAACTTTATTCATTCCTCTGAAATATGTCATAAACTGAAACAATTTTCCCCACAGGGATTAATATAAAATTCCCAGAACCCCAATGAATGCTTAGAAAAGAGTTCTCTGTGTATAAATTTGTTATGTAAAAACCAAAGGAAATTCATTAAACCTAACATACACAGTATTAACATATAAGCAAAATCTACTGCAATACTAAACACACAAAAAAGGGCAAAATTTTACTGTATCTCTGTTGCAAAAAGTTGATGAGTTATCAATTAAAAAGTAAATTATATTCCATATTTGGCTTTACTTCAAAATCACTGAGCTTTTGTCCCATTAAAAATTTGTCCACTGCGATTTGTTTCTGTCTATGTTTTAAAATGTTTCAAAAGTAAGACACAGCACTGTTATTACAACTATTTATGCTATGGCTTACTATTGCTTTAACAGGGCGATAATGTTCTATAAACTTTTGCATCTTACCTAATGTTGTATTAATTTTGCAGATCAAATAACTAGGAATATTTTTCCTTATGCTGTCATCTTCTGAAGACATTTCCTCCACTGCATTAACTGCATTTAGGAGTATCATTTGTTGTTGGCCTATCTGTTCATATTTCAAGACATTGCTCAACATCCAAGACATTATCATTTGGAAAATTTGTTTGTGACTGGATCTGTTCATGTTTCATCGTGTTCGTGAAACAAGATTCTATTGTATAATTTTATGAAATTCTAAACATAAATATATATAAAAAATGTCCAGAAAATACTTCTTTTTCAATGCTAATTTGTTTTCCCTACCAATATAACTAACACTGAGATCGATAAAAAATTATATTAAATCTATTTTGATGTTAAAGAATTAGCATGCTATTATTCATACCACACAAATACATGTACATATAAAAAATAAACATATCATAACAATTAAAATGAATAATACATGAAAAAACCACTCACAGAAATAAATTATGAAATGCATCATACAGATAAATTCTAGTAAAAAGAGGGGAACACTATCTACTAAGACCAAATAAAAACAAAAAGGTTCACTAATAATCCGAGTTTATTCACACATACCCGATCATGAAACTATCCAACAGGAGCATGGGAGAAAAATTAAAAGGTAATATTAATCAGGATTCACATTATTATGACTTCAAAAGGTGCTCTGTCATGTGCAATGAGAAAAGACACAAATGATGCTGAGGTAATAAATGTGTATTTGCATGCACAGCAAGAGAAAAACAACTAAAATTCTACTTAAGGAACCAGAACACACTAAAAAGAAACCTAATTTAAATGCACATGAAAAATATCTTATCAAGTCTTTTATCATACAAATGCTAATGTTAAAAAGCTATAAGAACAGGCAATTACAAGATATGATTAGAATTTTCATTTCCTTATGAATACTCAATGATGGATTAATTTTTAATCTTTCAGGAACTAAATTTACATTATAGCAAACTACAGCATTTTATGAGTAAATAATCCATGCAAATTTGTACTACACAAAAACAGGAAAAAATATATTAAAATGCAGCTATCTATTCTCTGTTTGTAGGAATACAACAAGAAAAAAAGTATATATATATATATATATATATTGAAAAATATCAGTTATAATATAGATGAGTATAAATAATTAGAATTACATGCTAAATAAACTCAATTATCAATTATACATAGATATGAGCAACTGGAAGATTCATATCATTGAGTTATTATAACTGCATTTTAATTAGCAAGTGTGCATCATCAATTGCTTTTGCCTCAAAAGCATTTTCAATACCTGGTCAAATGTAGTATACCAACAGGTCAGAGTACATCTATGTGTAAAACAATTAACTAAACAAAAAAGTTTATTTATCTCAAAACTGTAGATCAAAATGTGTGTAAAAAAAATATGCTTCATGGAAAGAGAAAAATCCCATTTACAGCAAAATAAGTGCCAATGTAAAAATGAAGTTAAGCACCACTTCAAATAAATGAAGAGGATTAATTCTGCATTGCGAAATACTGACTGCAGTACAGAACATTTTTTTAATATTTATGCATAGTTTGTTTCATTTATCAAAACATGAAAAGATTCTGCACATATCTCCAGAAACTGAACCAGTGGATTTTAATTCTTCAAAATATATGCCTTTTAAACAATTGAAGTTATTTACTTCTAGGGAGACAGAAAAATGTTTAGAAGGAAGATGAAACATTTCCAAAATGCTGACAAATATGTGTAATAGTTAATCAGAGTAATTGACTATGTGAATTGAGCCATTCAAAGAATCTTCTCATTTCAGAGAGGTGAAGGACGTATTAGAACATAGAAATATTGCAACTACATATTAGAACAAAGAAATTCAATCAGCATCTTCTAATCAAAAATGCTCTTAGTACTTCCAGTCATTATTTCAATCATACTTTCAATCACACCATCATTATCAGCTCCAGTAAATTTAAGGAAAAATTATTTTCTTGTTTTATATCTTATCTACTAATACAATATCAAAATAATGGTCTCTCTAGCTGAAATACACAATGTATGTTAACCCCTTCGCGCCGACTGTCACGTATACTTGCCAGCAACGAACACACTTATCTACCGGCCGACACGCAGGCGTGCCAGAGCATTGTTGCGTTTTCTACCGACTGTCACGTATACGTGCCAGTACCTTGGAACGTTTTTCAAACTATAATTTCTGCCACAAGATGGCACTGTACGTCCATATGGTTTCAGATACATGTACATTAGACCTTCTACTCGAAATGAGAGAAGCATGACTCCCATACACATGTTTTTGATTATATAAACAAACGGGGAACTAAATGTTTCCGAATGGCGTGATTTATGACGTCTCTTTAAATCGCACTTTATTCGCACGTGGCAATTGTTTATTGTAAGTAGAAGTTTTATATGCGTTAAAGCATTGAGCATTTCCGTTTACAGTTCAGTTTTTAAAAAATAATTAAATCTTGTTAGACGTGAATTCTTTCTGTTTTTACAGTTTCAATGTCGAAGCTTCAAAAATGTTTAACAGAGCATGAAATAGAAATGATGCAAAATATTTCAGATATTGATTCTGAAATTCTGATACTAATTCTGAAAGATTAACTGAAAGACATTTTCCAAAACTTTGTTCGGAAGAGAATGATAAGAAAAAGAGACGACGATGCTTCGTTTGTTCACATTCCCGGAAAAATCCTCCAAAACGGCAAATGAGTTATTACAAGTTCAAGGAATGCAACGTAGGACTGTGTGTAGATCCCTGTTTTAAAATTTTTTATACGAAAAGAGAATTTTAAGTAATATATTTAGTTTTCAGATGTATAATGTTAAAAGTCATAAAATGGTCAGTAATTAAAATAAAATGTGTAAAATATGCATTTAAACAAGAAATAAGGTAATTAAAGTATATATATATATAAATATCTATAAAGCATAAGCCGTTTAAATACTCTATAGAGCATTATTAAACAATGCGTTGATACTTCGGAAATTTCATGGATTTAGGCTTAGTAGCAAAAAAGCCCCCGGCCCTGGAGAGACGCTCGCGGAAGACACTGCCGGCCTCCACGATAAGCGCGCGTTTTCGCTACTTGGCTCGAAGGGGTTAATGAAGTCTGAAACAGAAGGAACATTTCCATTTCTGGAATACTTATGCCCAAAAAAACAGAGCACATTTAACAAATAAATCCACAACTTTTGAAGCATGACCTTTGCCTTGGAATTTGGAAAAGGACTAACAATTTTGAATACAACTTTTGCAGTTTCAGATACATAACATTCTGTTTGCACTTGTTTAAATAATACCCTTACTTAGCAAATCATATCAACAGAAAGGCCCACCTGCGGTCGAGCGGTAAAGTCGCTCAATACAGGTAGTTCGGCCCGAGGTTCCAATCCCGCAAGCAGGCTGGGTAATTTCATGGTTTTCCCCGTGTGTTATGTGTATACGAGCCAGTTTCACTTAGTCCTCCACTAAGGCAGATAGCCCTAGTGTGCTTTGCCGTGATCTCAATAAACCAAACCATATCAACAGAAAAAAAGTATAATGTGTCAGTAGTATAATAATCGCTGTGTATGACAATATGAATAACTAATATTTGATTAACCTTCTTATGATGGGAAAACTAGCCATCAGTTTGTCACTTAAAAAAATGACAGGTAGGTACTTTTTATGTTATAATTATCAGTTTCTTCAGATTCTCAGCAGTACATTCATGTACATATCTCTCTTGTTTCTTAATTTTCATATTTATATATGATTTATTTTCATTAGTTTTATTCACATTTTTATATTCCATCTTAAAGGCAACAAAACCTAAGCCAATAATTACAAATATTTGCAACCAGCTACTTTATCTTACATATAAATACTAATATTTGTATGATAAAATGGATATTACTAAGATACAATTAAAAATAAATATTAGCAAGTACAAAACTTTCATTTTGTTGGTTTGACCTATAAGAATGCACTCATCTTGGTTAAATTATTTTAGAGCTTTTGTATGAATGTATAAATATGTAAATGAAGTTTTTGAGCTCCTTATTTAGGAGATAAAATAACATTCATATTAGTAATTTACAGTATTAGTTATTGCTGTAACAGTATCAGCTTGTGTAAGAATGCTATAAAAGTAGTAAATTAATACCGTGATAAATGTTATTCAAAAACTTTCATTTCACTGGCCAATAAGAATGCAGTCATTTTATCGTGTCTAATTATTTGAAAGCTTTTTTATACACCTGAATATAAAAATATGTTAACAAAGTTTTTAAATTTCGTATTTATGAGAATGTTCTTTCATATGTAAATGCTGTTATGACAGTAGTAAATTATTAACCTTAATACTAGTCCCTCATCTTGTGAATAAAAAATTCAAAAACTTCACATACATTTTTTTTTTTTTTTTTTTTTTTTTTTTTTTTTTTAAACATTTAGACACAGAAGGAAACTTTCATATTATTCAGTCATGATGCATACATTCTTGAAGTTGAACAAGCGAAAAGAAAATTTTGAATAGCATTTATCTATCACTAATATCCTAGATATAGTTCAACTTATGTACTGCATAATAGATACTTTTAACAAATATACAATTATTAATAAATATTAATATTATTTTACAATGTTTGAACAATGGTTTTATATGATGAATCATTTGAAGTTACTGCTGGCCTCTTGATTTGCTTTATTTAACTTCAATTCAAGACTGAAATCACAAATGAAGTTTTGTTTAATGGCTTGTTAAACAGATCAGTGTTTTCATTTTGATTATTGCATATCATTTTCATGCATAAACTTTGATTTCTTCCAAACAGCAACAGCATTAAACACACATGATTATGATAAAATATTTGCAATCATTTTCAAATACAGTACAAAGTCCGAAATCCGGATTTGTCTGGTCTTCAGCGATACCGGATTTGGGATTTTTCCGGATTAATATTTATTTGTTTACCTTATTAAACATTTCTTTCAATGTAAGTTGTTTAAGTTGCTTTGTTTTTTGTGCTAATACTTTCTCTTTAATTCTGTAGACAGACTTTAATCTCTTGTTCAGTTACATTTTGAAGTCCTGTATCTGCTATTTTGAGAATTCCAACTAACTTGTCAATCAATTATCTTGTTTTCAGTCGTTTCTCTGTCACTTTCTTAACTATCGTTAGCAGTTTTTTCTGGATCTAGAACCATACTATAGATTTTGCCTTTCATGAATTGATTGATGATTGAGAAGCATTGAATGAA